GATAAGCATGTGGTAATGACATAGCAGGGTGACTGGATCAAACGTGTTGATCTGGTTATGTCTTCATTATGTATACTAGGTTACTAGAATATGGATAAGCATGTGGTAATGACATAGCAGGGTGACTGGATCAAACGTGTTGATCTGGTTATGTCTTCATTATGTATACTAAGTTGGGAGAATATGGATAAGCATGTGGTAATGACATAGCAGGGTGATTGGATCAAGCGTGTTGATCTGGTTATGTCTACATTATGTATACTAAGTTGGGAGAATATGGATAAGCATGTGGTAATGACATAGCAGGGTGACTGGATCAAACGTGTTGATCTGGTTATGTCTACATTATGTATACTAAGTTGGGAGAATATGGATAAGCATATGGTAATGACACAGCAGGGTGACTGGATCAAGCGTGTTGATCAGGTTATGTCTACATTCTGTATACTAGGTTGGGAGAATATGGATAGACAAAATTACCAGGAAAAATTACTAATTATTTATAGATCCTAAAAAATCAGAGATAAGAACATGAAAAATGGGTCAAGCTAACCACAAAAATTTACCATATTAAGTAAAACTGACTCACAAAAATCTTACTCACAGACCTTGTTGTGCAGTCTTAGATGAACCTTTTATTAGGCTTAGATTAACTGGAAAATCAATACTTGGAAGTGTATTTAATGTGCATTTCATCTATTCATAAGCTGGAGTTACCTGGAAGAGTACTTAATGTACATTTCATCTATTCATAAGCTGGAACTACTTGGAAGAGTATTTAATGTGCCTGATAAAGAAGTGGTTGAGGATATTAAGTTGATTCTCCTGAACATATTATTTTTGTTATAATAAAGCTCTTTGAACATTCTATATCAAGGAACAGTTAACGTATAAAAAACTGAAGCTGACTTCAATCCATATCAGTTACCCAGTCAGTTAAATCAAGGTGTCTTTTTACTGAGACGGTCAGTTCAGAAAGTACGAATTAAAGCTAGAAACTTACCTGCTCGGACACAAATTTCTGTAGTTTATTACACAATTGACCCCTCGTATCATAAACGTATTCTTCAACAGCATTCTTTGCATCCACTTTTTCTTTTTCCATTCTATCCTGTTGAACCATTTTGGCCTGATGACATCAGTGAAAAAAAAACTAAAATTATTTGCCTTCACAGAGGAACCAAAAACTACTGTAGTGTAAACAACTGATTTTTAACTGGGCCAGAAGAGAGGCACTAAAATCGTTTGATTTTTTTCCTTATCACAGTGGAAATATTTAACCGAATTGCATGAAACTTAGAATAAATTTACTAAATATTATCTAGTTTTGGCTAAAAAAAAACTTAGTATATATATATATATATAATTGTACTTAGCTTTTCTTTAACTTTTTACGTTATGAAACTTTCTCAATTTTCCTGACCTTTTTAGGTGGTGTCAAGCAGAACAGGTAACAATATTCTTGGTTGAGAGAATTTTATCTAATAAGTACAGTTTCTTTTCAGTAAATTGTAAGTTATTTTATTTATTATTACTGTTGGAATAGGATAAGCTTAACAGCAATAGTCAATAAATAAATATTTGAGACATCGGAAAGTACGCTAAGCCTACTGTACCCTCTAAACCTAATACGGCTTACCTGATGTCTTCTCACAGAAGAAAATTTCCACAGCTTTCAAAGAAATATAACTTCATGGAAAAAAAAATATTAAGGAAAAAAAAAAAAGAAAGACTATAGAAATTACTTAAAAACTCCCAAATCTGTAGTTTGTTCCTAAGTTTTCTAAACTTCATACTGGAATCTGTTACTCTTTTTTTGTAGGAACTAAGTCTATTCAGTCTTCCCACATCACTTTACTCACACTACACTGGCGTAAACAGTTCTAAATATGTACTATAAAATTGTATTTAATCTTTAGTTTTTACTATTTTCAAGCTGAACTTCATCTGTTTCAGATCTTAGAAACAAAAGCAAACCACGTAAGAAACAAACAGTAATTTTATTCCCAATGGATGATAGTTTCTTATCATATATAAATCTATGTTATAGAATGAATATAAGTAATATTAAATACAAGTCTAGGTGATGTCTCTTGATGATACATATAGTCACCTCTGCAGTTGTCTCCTTTATCAATCACAAGGGGGATTCTTCATCTCTCTCCCTCCCTGTTTCCACACTATCAGCTCATTTTCTGGGCCCATTCTATACAAGTATGTCTAATAGCTTGTTCTATTTCATGTGCTTCGGGTCTTGTCATGGATCATCTCTTGAGGCCCGCCAAGATACTACCTATGGATTAGTCCCTTGTTCCTCTGGTGTTCAAGTTACTGTTCTTTCATCTGAAAATTCTTCTTCTTGATATTTTTGCCACTCTTCTCAACACCTTACTTCCCCTTTTCAGGTCCCCTGTTCCTCTTCCCTCAGCTTTTGCTGGGGAAATATCTCATCGGGACTGGTGCAACTTTTTTGTTTCTTCATGAATTCTCTCCCACTCATTCTTCTCCCTCATTCTGGACACTCCATGTTGAGTCCTCCTGGTCACTCCTTACTGGCCAGCTCTGCCATGGTTTCCTCTATTGCACCTTCTCCTGTCCTTTCCTCCTCTTCCTCAACCTCTGTCACTCTCCCTACTCTTTCAACCTCACTCCTCCCTTTCCCATTCAGCAGTGTCGTCACATCGACTTCACGTGAGAATTTCCTTCTTTCTTATTCAGTTCATTCTTCTTCCATCAATAGTTGGTTCTTGCATCATTTGCAGAGGACCATGTGAAGAACATAAATACAAAGAAAGCTGTAAAATGTGTTTATATCATGATCCTCCAGCTATATGTACAGCAAAACATTGCCATGTTATCCCTCAAAGTAGACATAGGGTAGTGGAAAAGATAAAAAAAGAAGGAAGAGGCAGAGCAAGGTGTTTTTTTTTATGGAAATATGTATTGAAGAGAGTGTTTCCTTACAAGATTTGGACATTGAGATTGAAGATGTACTAGAAGAAACTAGAAACATGTTTATTCTCACTAATTATGCATTGAAATTGATTAACATCATTGGAACCAAAATAACTCTAATATTTGCTAAAATCAAACCATTCTGAGTCTTTCCTTTGATTTTCTGGGAAGTTGATAATTTTCGCCTATTTCTCCTCGACCAGAAAGGATTTTTAAATTCTGAAAGTTGCTCTCACCTTTTTAGACCATTCCGCACCCATTGTACACTTTCCCAGTTTATTTTTGACATTTTAAAAAAAATTTTGCATGGCAGCCAAAAAGGGTAAATTTCTTGCTGACCGGGATCTTAAAAAGTCTTTTTTTTTACACTACAGACTTACAATGTCTACAAAAAGCTTGCCAAGTTTTGTATGTGAATTCTAAGTTATAGACGTATAGTCTCACATATTTAAGGTGGACCAAACTGATCCACTTCGTACAAAAAGAGTTAACTGTAACGTACACAATGAACTTTTCTCTAATATTCTATTGAAATCTTATTTCATCTGTAACAATAACCTATCATATTCATGTATACTCTTCTATCACAACATCTGAAAGTAACATACAACGTAACACACACCATAATCATGTATTAACAAAAAAACTCTACTGGGTTACCTGTAAAACTTCCACTCACCTCGGTCTCAATTAAATCATCTAGCTCTTTTCTAGATAGTTGAGACACTGAAGAGTCAATTGGTAACTCTAATAACTTCATAAATTTCTTTTGTTTTTTCTGGATTGGCTGTTTCTTCTCTGAATCCTTCAGAAATTTTAAAAGTTAAAAATATATGTGTAGAGACTTCCATAAAGTTAATAAACACTGTTTTAATAATGTACACAGCTGATAAACACTACTATCTGGTAAAGTTAACAAACATACAAGCACTTCTTTACATAGGAAATTTATAACACTTGTAAACACTACTATCTGGTCAAGTTAATAAACACTGTTTTAATAATGTACACAGCTGATAAACACTACTATCTGGTAAAGTTAACAAACATACAAGCACTTCTTTACATAGGAAATTTATAACACTTGTAAACACAACTCAAACACTACTATCTGGTCAAGTTAATAAACACTGTTTTAATAATGTACACAGCTGATAAACACTACTATCTGGTCAAGTTAATAAACACTG